CTGGGGCCGGGCAGAGAAGCTGTTACTAGTGGCAGTGGAAGGGGTTCCTGAAGAGTGAAACCCCCTTTTTTTTCCTGAAAAACTCTTAGCGTTTCCATTTTTGTGGGATTTCTGTGGAATTATTTCCTTTGTTTCAATTTATGTGACCCCTCACTGGTTTCTGTCCAGTAGCAAGGCCCCTACAGCCATGCCATTTTAAAACTCCCGTGACTGCGCCTGCCCTCTGCTTTTCTTTTTGTTTCCCATGGGAATAAGCTTCCTTCTTTAGTTGGAGGACTGTGTTTTGGCTGTCCCAGCAGCATTTAGAGCCAAATAAAATTAAAAATAATAATAATTGCGGCCTTAAGTATTGTGATAAATAGTGGCTTGATACTGGCACAGGCCGTGCTGGAAAGGCAGGACAGGGTTATCTCCTGCAGGTTCATGATGGCTGCTGGGCATGTGCTGCTCCGGACTGGCTCCAGGCACTACAGGAGGTTTCTTTTCCAGACCAGGAGGGATCACCGGAGAGCACTGGAGATGGGGGTGTGGGGACAAACAGACTTTACTGGGTCTGCTCCTAAGAGTTCCTCACCTCCTGTGTGCTCTTGTATATCCAGACAATAATTCAGCATTTATTCTGCAGGCCTTTGACTTAATACGTGGAGTTTCACAGCAACACACAATCAGACTGGCCCTGATACAGGGAAGTAGTTAATGAAACAGCAGGAGAGTGTTTGCAGGAGACACTTTATTCTGAGAAACTGTGTTGTTGAGCATGTTGAGCAAAGATGCTTTGTGTTTAACTTTTCTGTTCCCATTACTTATAAACTAAGTCCCGGAAATTGTGCTTTCAAATTTAACTTGCCCTTTCTTTAACAGTTAAAGCCATGGCACTGAAACAGGTTTCCAGCAACAAATGCTTTGAGGGTTTCCAGAAGGTGTTTGAACATGACAGGTAAAGCTCATGAAAACAGTCTGTTTTGCATGGAGTAGTAAATCAATAGTATTGCTGTCAGTGAAACATGCTGCAGGGAAATATTATTCTCAGTAGTGTCCATATTTAACTAAGGAATGTTGTCTGCTACTCTTTTGGCAATGTTGCTGCATTTTTGTGTTAAATGTTTAACATATTTAATGTTCCTACTGCTGCAAACCAGTGGCTGGAAGGCAGTATTTTTATTTTTAAAATGACCCATTGCTTTGGGTTGCCCTGTTTGCAGCACATAGAGCTGCTGTGTATACAAAGCTCTATCCGCAATAGTAGAGACTACATTTTTAATCAGTCTTAAAATGCTCTGACAGAGCGATCTGAGCAGACCAAGGCAATAGATTAAAATCTTGTTTAATGATGAAAACAGAAGCATTTATTTATTTATTATTATCTGATCCAAAAAAGAAAAAAAAAAAGGAAAAAGGTGAATCATCCTTTATGTTCAGATAAGCTTTGTTGGCAATTTTAAACAATATAAATTGGGCAATCAGTAAGTGTGTAGAAAACACCCACTCTTGGAGGGCATGTTGTACAGTGTATGTTGTGTAAGTCATGTGGATGTGTTCTTTAGTAAAATTTGCTTTCCCTTATAATATGCCAAGTTCGAGTTAAGTTTTGTTGGAGTTCAAAATTCAGTTTCCAAGTTCTTCCCTGTTGGCACACTGCAAAAATGTGGCTTGTTTTTAAGTGTCTGGTTCTAAAAATACATTAAAATATGTAGAAAGCTGTTGTCAAGAGGCTGAAGGTAAATTTAAATATTTCTTCATTTTTCATGTGTGTTTTTGTCATTTTACTACTGTCATTTAACTACTTAGTTCTTATATTTCACTAACGATATTTTTCTCTTGAGACTGATTATATTCTGAAAATACATTGATTCATCTTTCCTTTTTAATGTTAACAACCTCATTAGTTAAATAGCAGTGCTAACTGTGAATGTTTTATCACTACAGCACAGAGTTAAAATGCAAAATGAAATTTGGAATCTACCTGCCTCCAAAAGCAGAAACTTCAAAGTGTCCCGTGCTTTATTGGCTCTCAGGTAAGCAACATGAATTTTAGGAATTGGAGGAAAAAAAAAAAACCAAAAAAAAAGAACAGTAACATGTTTAAGATACTGTGCTACAGTGATACTTTAGTGGCAGCTCTTGCAGTCTGTTAAAATGTGTCCTGTCTTTTGAGACACACACAGAGGTTGCCTGTGTTGTGCTGAAGTTGGATTCAGCTGGCCCCAAGGGGTTCAGCCCTTTTTTGGATTTGTGTGTTTCTTGCAGGAAGATCAGGAAGATGTGAACTTTCTCTTGTCTAGATCCTGCTGGACATAGGAGTCATGCCCAGAAGGGACTGTAGTTGAATAGTTATAGGGCATCGTATATGAATGACCTGAAGGTTTATTTTAAGGTGTACTATAAATGTAGACATATGTGCATGTATATATATATTTAAGAGTTTTCCTACCAGGTCTGCTCATAGACAACCTCCTACTTCTGTTAATAGGGTAGGGGGAAGCCGGCAGATTTGTCCTTTGGACCCTACCACATCCTGAGTTTTGCAGGGAGCATTTGATGTACTTGCAAAGGGAGGTTCTGGTTGCTGGTGTAGACCCAGCACATCCAGAGTGGAGTAAGAGAGAGGCATTGAGGGTGTCCTGTCCACCTTGCATCTTGCTGGGTATAAGGCAAGCAGGGATGAGGCTGCACAAACATATGCGACTCCCAGTTATTGTGGGTTTATTCTTCTGTCCTGTGTTTGTCACATCCCACAGAGCTGGGTCAAACTCTAAAATTTTAGAACTAATGTAAAACCGTTGCTTTCAAAATCCCCGGGTTTGTGTTTGCGATGGCTCTCAGGAATGATTAATTACATCCCTTTTTTCTATATTCAAAATGAAAAGCAAAAGCAATTTCCCTTCTGTATTTTTAGAAGTAGCTAGTTTTATTATTAAGAAAGTTGAAGAATTAACTGGTAGTGTGGAGACTGTATTTTTATATGCATTCATTTTAGAACAATTTTATTTTAGAGTAACAGACTACAGAAAAATGTTTACTGTTGAAGTATCACTAGTTGAAGTAGAAAGCATCCAAGTTTGAAGAGCTGCAAATCATGCCCTACTTTTTATTTCTTTTCAAAACTAAAGCATGATGTCTTGGTGAGGATGTCAGTCAAATGAAGTTATCTGCAGCTCACCTTCAAAGAGAATGACAATCAATAACCTCAATTAATAATCTCAAGTGGCAAAACAAAGAATAATTGAAATATTGGCCTGCAATGTTATTTATTTGCAATTGGACTTCAGTTTCAGACCTACTGCAGTGGAAGAGACAGATTGCTATGGATCTGGGAGTCAGAGCGCTATGGGCCTTCGTTTTATCTAGAAGATACGAGTTTTATCAGACCACATGTAATGGAGATAACTGCCTGAAATGGCAGTGGACAGAAAAATGTTGTTGCAGGGTTAGATTCAAAAGTTAGTGATGTTGTTTTGCCAAGCAGTCAATATGGAATAAGATACTATCTGGTGCTGCTTGTGTTAAATAGGCAGTACTTGAAGATACTGCATATGTGACAGGAGTGGCATTTCAGTGGCTGTCTTGGGGCAGAATACAAATTGACCGACTTTAGATTAGTTTTTACTGTGACTAAATGTGAAAGTGCGACTGTATCTGCATCTGTGGATTATTAAATATTGTTGAACTGAACATTTTTTCATGTTTATGGAGATAAAATCCCTCATGCTTTTCAAGAGTTTTTCTGATAGAAAAGCTAGGTTTTGTAAACTGCAGTGCTGTGAGCAATATGTAACTGGTCCTATTTCTCTTGTCTAGGATTAACTTGCACAGAACAGAATTTTATAACAAAAGCTGGTTTTCAACAAGCTGCAGCTGAACATGGCCTTATTGTAGTTGCGCCAGACACAAGTCCACGTAAGTTTTTACACAGGATGTGATAACATCTTTACACAGAAGTTCACTGTCTTTATCCGAACAGAATGAGTTGCTGCAGGTCACTACAAAGTCCATCTGAGTCAGAATCAGACTTCACCTTTATATCTGACATTATTTGCTGGGTTATGTCATCTGTATTCTTAATAACCTGTTACTGAGGATTTCACATGTGGAACTCTTTTACTGTGATAGTCCAAAAACTAGGACAAAGGGGCACTGAGTTCAGCACCGAGGAGGGCTGAGGAATGAGGGGAGAAGGAAGGCAAGTAGCCAGAGATATGGGCTTGCACTTTGTGGCTTCCTGAAACTTCAAAAAAAATCCACAGACCTGTGTTGTCACACATAGCTGTAATGTTTACTGTTTATTGTATTGTGTCTTCTAATCCTTCTAAGTACCCGTCTTCAGAGTATATCATTGATTTGAAAAGTTTAAAGCAACCCAAAAACCTTTTCCCCGAGATTTCAATGGGTTGTTGCTAAAGAACTTTTAATAAATGACATGATGTTAGTTGTATAAAGCTGAGATTATATGTGGTTTGGAAAACCTGAAAATGGGGGTCTGCTAGGCCCAACCAAGTACTGGATATACAGTCTTTTGGGGATTTGGTGTATTAGGTTGAGTACTTGCTGGATTCTGCTGAAGTCTAAAATTAGAGTGCTATACACAAAGATAGCTCTCATCTGATATTTTCCAAACTCATTAGGATATGAGTACAGTTAATGTGGAAATGAATGGATGTTCTTTCCAGAAAAGGTTTTTCATACCTAGGATTTGAAGTTGTGCTGGGCCAAAGAACAGAAATGCATTTCCAATGAAGAAGGGGCAGAAAAGCAAGGCTTGTGGGTTAATGAATGTGCCTCTGAGTAAAGGTGTACAACTAAACTTTGCATTATGTCAGGATTAGAATTACCCTTGGGTGTGGGGCTTGTTTTTGAACCTGTTTGCAGTTCCTCTCTTGTCACCTAGTCTAATAAGGCATCAAGATTTGCTCAGTTGTTTAGATGAATCTGAGTATGTGTTTCATATACTCTCAAATATTAGCTCAGAGACCCAGATACTCCTGCATCTTTTTGAGCTATCTGGAAAAACTAGTGAAGAACAATTCAAATACAATGACAAGTGATCTGGATGTATTTAGAGAAAATGCTAAGGGGATGTATGAGTTTTTTTATTTTTTTTTTAAGAGCAGCTATGACTACATAAGGTTTGTCTTCTGGGAGCGATGGGCTGTGTAGACAAGGAAAAGGACTGTAGGAAAATATAAAACACTTTGAGTTATAGACTGTCAGGCTCTGGTTGTGTACTTAGCTTTCTTGTTAGGGTTTACTTCACCAGCCAAATGTGCTGCACAGTCCTTTGCATGTTTCTTTTCAAGTTTCTTTTTCTTTTTTTAGGGTTTCTCTTAAGTTTTTCTCAGCAAAATCAGTCTTGCCATCACTGTCTGGCAGGACTTGCTTAGTTTTCATCCACCTCCGAGGGGCTGAAGATAACAGGCTTTTTATATTCAGCATGTTGTGTAAGCACCTGCAGTCGCTGTGACTGCTGGACTGTCAAGTTGCAAAATCAGCTAGTGTTCAAGGGCACGTCACTGGAACTACCTCAGTTTTGATCCTTGCAAAAATCTGATTCCACACTGTGACAGGGTGGCAGGTATCTGCACAAATTGTCAGGGGTTGTCTGAAATTACTTGTGGGTCTGCAGAGTAAACTGACAGTTGTTAAAGCCTGTGTAATTTTGGCTAGCAAAAGCAGGGAGCGTTTTGGAGAAAGGGAGGCCATCATTTCTGGTCACATACCCCTTAAAAAACTACATTCTCTTCTGAAAACCAACCTATAAATCATAGGTTAACCAAGCAGAGAATTAAAGAAGACTGGATGGGAGGGACTGACTTTCAAGGAGACATCTGCAAGTTTAGTTTTCAAGTGTAGCCTTGGGAAGGAAGATAAAACTGCAATAATTCAAGGAAGAAATTGCTTGAGCTTTATGAGGAGTTTTAGCAATGAAATGAACTGCCGGAAAGGTAGAATTACATACTTGCAATATGGACAGTGACTGTTATATTGTAGGATCTTAAAAGAAGAGCAGTATCAGATAATTTCTGAAGACTATAAAGCTGTTCTTGGCAAACCTTTTGGTGATACATGGTTCTGTTCTTCTGGGTGAAGAAAATTTTCCAGTGTTCTTGTTTTTCATGTAGTGCCCTGTACCTGATAAGGTGAAGTGTAATAGAGTATGGTTGAAATAACCCAGTAGCACCAAAAATTCACTAGTAAATGAAAATTGGAGTGCATCCATAGGTAAATTGGACAAAAATTACGGAGAGTTGAGTGTGTTTGCACTTACGTGTGGGGCCACTGAAAGTAGTCACAACTTTGACTTGAAAACACTGTTAACTATGAAAATCTGAGTTGATTGGGTAGGTAGAGACAGGGTGATTGAGCCTAAGTCTGTGATTTATGCGACAAACTCCCCAGTTCTGAATGTCTGAAGTAGGTAGAGACAGGGTGATTGAGCAAGTTGTCCTAAGTCTGTGATGTATGTGACAAACTCCCCAGTTCTGAATGTCTGATAAGGAGTAATTATTGAATCACTTTTCTTGGTAGGTGGCTGCAATATTGAAGGAGAAGATGAAAGCTGGGATTTTGGCACTGGTGCTGGTTTTTATGTGGATGCCACTGAAGATCCTTGGAAAACAAACTATAGGATGTACTCCTATGTAAAGGATGAGGTAACTTCGCTGCTGGGTTCTATGGTATTTTGGGGCGTACTGAAGATGGGGGAAGTTCAGCACCCAAGCTTCTTTGTTGGATTTTGGCTTTGTTTTAAAAAAAGATAGATGCCATGGGGTTGATAAACAATTCTCATCCTCATTTGTTAGTTTTGAAATCTCAGCTCTTGTAAAATCTGCTGCTTGTGAAGGAATCCACAGCATTTCAGTGTGGTGGTACTTCAGTAGTCTTGCTCATTTAGACTGTTTTCACAAGCTGTATTGGAAAGAAGGAGAAGGGGGGTTGCTTTATTTTTTTCTTTAGATGGCTGTAGAAGAAAATCCTTGAGAAATATATTGGAAACATGAAAGGTGAGTGTTAATTTACCATGTGTGTGGTTTGTGTGATCTAGATTAGTGGGAATGTAGGGAGCAAATGGTTTCAAAAGAATAACCTGACATTCTGCTCAGTTATGGGGACACATGCATATTTAGGGATCTGTTGAAATGAGACTGCATTGTAGAGTTATGCTAGATCTCTACAAAAATACTTAATTATGTATTTTCAGGTGAAATGTTTCCTGTTGTTTTTACAGTCCTGTTCAGATTGTTTTCAGGCCATGATGAAAACTGTCAGGCTAGAATCAAGAATGTCTTTGGTCTCAGTGTTTTTCCCAGAATTAAAATAATTAGTAATTTGTGTAATTACTTGTATAAACATATTCAAATTGCTTTAACTTTTTTATTCCATTGTTAACTCCTTTTCAGTTGCCTAAACTAATAAATACCAATTTTCCAACTGACCCTGAACGGATGTCGGTGTTTGGACACTCCATGGGAGGCCATGGAGCTCTGATTCTTGCCTTGAAGAATCCTGGAAAGTACAAAGTAAGATATACTGAAAGTTCGTACAGATTTTGTAGAAGTGAAAAAGCCACTATGTACTGTTGTACAAAGTTCTGTTGTAGCCTTAAATATAGAAATAATTGCAGCATTTGATATCTAGTATTAGATTGTGGAGCATTACCAGGAATCCCAGTCTGAAGAATATGAGTGTTTGACATCACTGAACTGAAGTAACCTACTTATTTTAGAAGTTGAGAAAAGTTACATTTCTTCTGGATGGTGTACAGCTCTTCCAACCCAACTGTTGCAGTTAAAGATAAGCAGGTTCCCTTCAGCTCTGGGGTTAAGTCATGCTGCTTGCATAGTTTGGAAATCTGGTTATGTGACTTGCCCTACCTTTCCAAATCTTATTTGTTTTGGAGCTTTTCTTACCAGCAAACATATTTACCACTATTATGCATGTGTTTGCTTAGAGTTTACTGCAGAATATTTGAACTCCAGCTGCTAGCAAATGTAACTGTAAGGACAGCTTGCTCAAACTGTATGGAAAATAGCATCTGGGCTTTTTTTTTTTTTTTCTTCTTTTTTTTTTCTTCTTCTTTTTTTTTTTCTTTTTCCCAGTCTTTTCTGGGAGTTGGAAGGCAGCTTTACATTCATTTGTGTTCTACTCAAACCTAAATCAAACATGCCATGACTGATTCCTTCAACTCTTCACTCTCACAACTTTGTTGTTTCTTTGGAGATGTGTTTGTGCTGGGTGGTGTTTCTGAGGGAGACCAGGTGCTGGTGTTTGAGAGATGAGGGAGTGCACCTTTCAGGCTGCACTTTATGGCCAGCTGCATGCTTTCTAATACATCTTATTTAACCAAGATCTGTTCTCTGTGGTGGCATTTCTTAATGGGTCTGGCTGCTGTAGCAACTGCATTTTTTTGAATAACACTTGCTCAGTGTCCTTGGCTTGGCTTTGTAAGGCAGTTGAATGTAAGATAAGGCTTTACTTCTGTATCTCATTTTTATTATTTGGATCCAGTAGTTCTGAGATTTTTGTTTTTACTGATGACCTTTTAAGCGTTAACTGTACTATCTGGAAGAAATAAAAATTAAATTGAAAGTACCAAAATCCAAGAGAAGAATAAGTGACTCAGGTTGTTTGTTGCTTTTTCCTAGAAGACCTAAGAATTGGTCTGAGGGCCAAATCCAAAAGGAGGATATGGACACCTAAAATAGAGCTTGTATTTCTGACACTGGTGTTGTGATCTGAGCTGCACTTTTTCTTGACCTCTAATCCTGGAGATACCTAAGTTCATGAGATGCTGTTGCAGGCTCAGATAGGCTGGTCAGTGCCAAGCCTTAGTCCTCTCTTATGTCATGCCACAATCTCGTTGGGTGTGAAATAGCCCCATGTTCTGGTCATGCTAACCTGACAATAACAGGCTCAAGATGCCTCTTCTCTGCGTAAGGAGATTCAAACCACTATCTCCCAACCAGGGAAGGAATGGCCTTCTGAAGCTTAGCTTTGCAAAAAGGCAAGGAATAACAACATGGAGCTGGAGAAAACAAGTAAGAGAGCAGCAGTGTAATGGTTAGGGTACCATGGGAGTGCTGGTGGGCAGGATCCTGGGTAAGGATAATTTCAGAATTAAAGAAGATTTTAGTTTGCTTGTTAACTACCAAAAATCCCTTTTCTTAATTTGTATTTTTCTTACGCTTTCTTTCCGAACAGTCTGTATCGGCGTTCGCTCCTATCTGCAACCCTATTCAGTGTCAGTGGGGGAAGAAAGCCCTTGGTGGATATCTGGGATCAGATACAAGCAAATGGGAGGTATGGTTTGGAACTCCGTCCTTTAAAACTTATGCATGAATGATCTCTAAATACAGTATACAACGAGTCTGGAACAAAACCCTGGTGTGCCCCTGCACTAACATCACCATGCAGCTAAACACCTAAGCTTTGGTAAGTGCTATACACACAGGAATGACTTGCTGCTTCCCAGTGGAGCTTGTAACAAACATAATGAGATAGAAGGTGCTCATCAATCAAGAGTCATCAATCAACTCCTCCTTTTTAAGATTTTCATAAAATCTTAAAAATTATGAGCCATTTGAGACTTCTCCCTAATGCCAGAAAGCAGGAAGAAGTCTAGAATAGAGTTATATCCCTCAAAAATCTGTCTGCTTCACAGTCTCAGTGTGCAAAACTGCTTTCTTGTAGTAGCCTGAGAGGAGACTGACCCAAACTGGTGCGGAGACTGATGAGCCTCATGGCATCTGCGGGAGCAGCCTGTCAGAGGCAGCTAAAAGAGGAGCCTACTGGATACTTGGAAATGAGTACTCAGTAGAACAGGATTAAGCCAAACTGAGTTAGGTAGCCTCAGATCGCTGATACTCAGCATAAACATTACATTTTATCCCTGCATTGAAAAGTTAGGAAGGTTTGTGGTGACCGGGGACTCTGATTACCCTATATATAAACACAGACTGCAGTTAAATCCCTTGTGAACTGGATTAAGTCTCTCTTAGGAAGACATTCAGGTCTGCTTCTTAATATGAAGAGATGGAGAGGATGAGTTACTTTTACTATTGCTAATCAGATTGCTATGTTATCGAAAAAAAAGTACAAGTTGTGGAACCTGATATTCTCCAGCCATTGGGTTTTGTGTGCTTTGTAAGCAGATTTTGAGGAGGCATTTATTATGAAGCTGCTAGTTCCAGTGCAGTTACTTGCAGAATGCCCTAAGTCCCTAATTAAGCTTGGTTGAACTTAACAAAATGAATACGTATTGCTAAAAAAATCTCATGTTTGTGGACTCTTACTTCACTTTGAGGCTCTTGTGCAAGCTCAATCCAGTGTATTACTGCACCAGGAGCAGACTTAAACCTTAAACCTGCCTTGGGCACAGGAGTACCCACTATTGCTGCTTAGAACTGCCATGTTAATATGTGCAAGGATCATATTATACCATTGCCACGGTACTCAGCTGAGCTGAGTACAAGCTCGTTCCTTGCAGTGTCATTTCTGCACCTGGAGCTCCTTGGTGCAGGGCTGTGCCTTTTGCTGTCTGTCAGTGACGTGCCCTCCTTAAGCAGTTGTCATCTGCCCTGTCTCTCTTTTTTTTTTTTTTGAGCTGGCACAGGACCCCCCTGGGAATATATTCTCCATTTATAATTATGTTACAGGACACACCAGGTAGTAGTCTTTGCTTTATGCAGTGTGTGCCATTCTGGTTTCTCCGCTGTGCTGGGTTTTCTCAGTCCAGTTATCATGGTACGTTCCAAGTTAGACACCTTGCTTAGCCATTGCTTGTTACATCAGTGCTTTGCCCTTTAGGAACCAAATCAGTTGCAGCAAGTAACCTTGGTAGGATCTACTTCATGTGCAAGCACATGAGTTGATACCTGGTTGTATTTACTGTATTTCCTGTTCTTTGGTTCTCTTTTCATTTTGCTCTGTACTGGGTGTTCTGTTTTGTCCGGAGTTGATAGAAAACTGCCAAGATGGTAATTGCCTAGATTAGGTCACTTGCCCTTTTTTTTAACACACGTATAACTTTCCACTTGTCAAAGAGATTTTGAAGATACAAAAATACTAAGACCAATTCAGCTCAGTTTTACCTCATGGATGCAGATTATCCACATCTGATGCTTTTTGTATTGTTTTGTTTGCATCACCATCTCTGTTCCTTCAGGAACGATCATCTTTGTGATAAATGAATCCATCAGCTGATTTTTTTCCAAATACAGAACAGAGATACTTATGTACTGATTTTTTGGCATTATTATTGATGCTGTGTCTCTTGAAATAATTACTCTGGCTTAGGCTATTTTCATGTTATTAAAAAAAAAAAAAAAACACTTTTATATACAAGGTTCCTAGCTTTGAATTTTACCCCAAATCCTGTTTCCTCAATGTAATACAGATGTTTATAGCTGTTAATAACCTGCAAAAAGCAGTTTATTAAGATGCCTCTGTGATATTGCAGTGACCTTGACCTTATAATTCATATAAATAGTCCTAGTTTCTGTTTCCTACATCAGTCTGAATTTTTCTCCCTTTCAAGAGTGCTTTTGGCTCTAAAAATCAATCCTTAAAGCATATGCTGCATGTTGTTTTTGGCTTAGTTCCTGATTTAAAGCACATGGTGAGGAGGCAGCAGCCTGGCTTATCTGTGGTATCCTGCTACTGGACTGGACATTAAAGAGCAGGTATCTTGTTCAGAAGGGTCTACAGAAAAAAACTTCCTAAGTTCCTAATCAACTTCAGTCACAAAGTAGACCCAGACTTGCCACAGGTGGGGTAAGGTGAGATTGATGGCACTATTAAACCCTGGATCACAAGAGTGGCAGGATATTATTTAAATCTCTTGGCAGTTAGCAATAGACCTCTGTCAAGGTCCTTCTGAGTGGTCAGGAAATCCTAATGCAGTATTTCCTTTGGAAGTAACATTTATGGTGAGGAAAATCCCATTTGTGTCTTTTAGAGATGTGTTCCTCCTGCTAGCATGAGAATTGCAGCATGTCTTAGTCAAGTCTTTTGTCATTAAGCTGAATTTATTCATTTTTACCCCTCCAACCTGTGCTATAGGGAAGTGTATGAGACCTTGATTTTATTTCAAACTGCAATTTGGGGTCTTGATGTAGTTTGTATATAGTATCACCCCAAACTGCATGTGCCCCATTCTTTTTTTGCAGGCAGTAAATTTGGTCCAGGCTAAAATATGTAATTATTAGCCTAAGAACTACTTTCATGCAGCTGACACTGTTCCTCTTAACTTTATTTCTTCAGGCATACGATGCTACGCAACTTGTGAAGTCCTACCCAGACTCCCACCTGGACATCTTGATCGATCAGGGCAAAGATGACCAGTTCCTGTCAGCAGGCCAGTTGCTGCCCGACAACTTCATCGCCGCCTGCACAGAGCAGAAAATCCCCGTAGTCTTCAGACTGCAGCAGGCAAGTTGCTTCTGCGATCCCTGATTGCTGGGTTGATCCCTGGGGATTTTTGAGCGGATGCAGCAGCTGATCAGCAGGATGTCTGGTCGCTGGGTATGCTCTTATTTACCTGTGGGTCTGTCCTTGGCCAAATGAAGAAGGCAAGAAGTTGTTTTTCCCTTGTGTAAGGAGTGTGTAAGGAGTGCAGTATCCATCACATTCCCTGTCTTTGACCGCTAGATGGGGTCACGATTACAACAAACTGAGGTGCCTAGATGGAAATTTGCTGCTGGTAGACTGAAGAGGAAACGTTAACTATCTTTAATAGGTGTTGCAGTCACTGTGTGAGCGTTAGGATGAGCGTCCTTCTGCTAGATTTCCTGCCTGTGTGGCAGGTATTGCATCCAGCCTAACACTTTGTGAAGTAGTTTGCGTGTGTTTTGCTTCAGGAAGAGTGTGAAATTGCTTAGAAAAACTTGTTTCATTTGAAGACTGGTGGAAGGACTACAGTGGCCAGGATAGCACTCTCTGTAAGCAACTCACAGCTTCAAGCCAGACTGAGTACTGAGCCTGGTTACAGAAAGTGTCCTCTCTGATTTAAGGGCTTTTACGCAGTCCTGCACCAAAGGATAGAGTCAGTGCTAACAAAACTGAGCTGTTCCAGAGGTTTTCTTGTCTTTCCAATAAAGTGCCAGAGCATTAGTCAAGACTTTGGCTCTGCCCTCCTTATACCCTGTTTCCCCAGTAGGACCGTGCCAGAGAGAGCAAATATTTTCTCTGCAGCTGATGCTTGCTCTTATCTAAGCTGCATGTCCAGCATAGACCAGTGTAATGTACATGTTTGCTTGGCCTCCTTGGGTTAAGTGAGCTTAATGCATTTTATGTATAATACAGATGATTTTGATTTCTTAAAAGAGACCAATACAGAACAAGTCATTACCTTTCCTAGGCAAGAGTGTAGCACGATTGCTTTATCATGAACTATATGTATTTGCTAATTTTTCATTGTTGTTCTCTTCTAGGGTTATGATCACAGCTATTTTTTCATTGCAACATTTATTAATGATCACATCAAACACCATGCAAAATACCTTAATGCTTGAACCCTTTGTATGGGAGCATCTTCTGTCCAATAGGCTATGGGTGAACTAAACAAAAATAATTTGCTGAATTAGTGTCTACACAAAATGAAGCTCTTCTGATGGTACTGCAGATAAAATAAAAGCCCTTGATTTGATGCGTGTGCTTCAAAGTAAGTGTTTTGAGTGGTCTTACATGTTTTGAAAACAGTCTCGTCACCACCGAAGGAACGTGCTGGACTTCAGGTAAAAATGAAAATTAGCAGTTGAGTCAGTTTTAAAATATGGGTGTATGCACATGGGCCCTCAGGACTACTCCTAGCATAACTGTGCAGAGACTATGAATAGCAGCAACTTGAGTGGCTCTTAATCACTAATTAAGTTCCAGCATTGCGTTCATCTCCAAGTGCTGAAGGAAGTCATTAGCTCCACAACTAATCAACCTGCTTAATTAGTCTGAAGTGCTGGTGTGTTTTTCCTTGGCCCCTCTAAGTCTATTCCAAGGATAAAGTGTGGTGGTGAGTGCAGCCAGATGCCTGTTGTGCAGCATGGTTTACTGTCCTGTGCATTATTAACATGACGCTATGACCCAGAGAGTATTTAATGGACATTACTTGAAGGAAAGACCTCTTAAACACAGTGTGAAGGAAGCAGTTTGTGTTAGAGGTGGTTCTCTCTTCCCTCCCTTCGGTTGCTGAGTGATAAAGGCTTATGGCATAAGTTTTTAAGGGTTGGATAAGAATTGGCAGGAGTGGGAAAAAATGATTAAATAAATAAGCAGAGGCAGTCTCTAACCCTGCATGATCCATAATCTCCTTGGTGAGAACCTACATCAGATAACTGTGATAGATGTTCCTGGTGGAATAATTTTGCCAAGTACCTCGCATGGGGCAAGAACACAAATTGCTCCAGTGAGTTGTTTATCTCAAGTCCAGCGTTGAGCAACTAAGATGATAAAGGGATTGGAGTATCTATTGTATGAAGAAAGACTAAGCGAGCTGGGCCTGTTTAGCCTGGAGAAGAGAAGGCTGAGATGAGATCTGATCAATATGTACAAATACCTGAGGGGAGAATGTAAAGAGGATGGGGCCAAACTCTTCTCAGTGGGGGCCAGTGACAGGACAAGGGGTAATGGATGCAAATTAAAAAGCAGGAAGTTCCATCTCCATGTGAGGAAGAACTTCTTTCCTGTGAGGGTGACAGAGCCCTGGAACAGGCTGCCCAGAGAGGTTGTGGAGGCTCCTTCTCTGAAGATCTTCCAAACTCGCCTGGATGCCACCCTGTGCCACGTGCTCTAGGTGTCCCTGCTGGAGCAGGGTGGTTGGACTAGGTGATCTCTAGAGGTCCCTTCCAACCTTGAACATCCTGTGATTCTGTGAAGGCCAAGCAGTCAGTCAGGAGCTCTTCTTCACTGTGGTGAAGCCAAGTGGATCTGCACCGTGCGAGAAGGGAGAGTCCATGTTTGCATCCCTGAAAAGCAGCATCCAGCCCTACACGCTACCCTGCCAGCTGCATCCCAGACTACCACAGCCACAGAAAAGTGGTGGGCCCGAAACAGCCCAAGTCAGCGAGCAGCCCCTTGCAGGAGAGCAGCTGGTTACCGTGGGGCAGAGTTGAGAGCCTTGCTCAAACCTCGACTGCCGCCCACAGGAGTGCTGAGGTGGTGGCAGGAGCTCCTTGCCTAAGTGAGCAAGTAGTAATGCTGGGAATTTACCTTTCTCTTTAGTAGTGACTGGCTTAAATTGCCTATTGACACTTTTCTAGCTTGTGTCTACTTGGGATAAGCTTAGAAGGCAGGAGAAGATACAAGTGTAAGGATTCTCTCCAGGGCTGCCTGCACACAACGGTTCTCCATCCTGAGTAGGCTCTTCCACCTGGGGTAGGTTTATAACACTAATTCCTGCTTTCTGGTAAAGCAGGGTACTGGTGTGAAAACTCGGGTTTTCCCTTCACTCTCAAAATGGGCTGAAAAGCGTATTTAATGCAAGGCAGCCTCATATTTAGAGGCAACCTGTTTAAAGTCAAGCAAATACCCTGTTGTTCCCTTTGGCTGGCCTCTGCCACAGCCAACAAATGGATTCCTGGGCTATTTCGAATACTGGAACGGAGCGGAAGCGCTCTGGGCTTGTGTTACAACCCTCTGCCTGGCAATGATAAACATTTCACTAGCTCTGCCACACAGCAAATTGATTTTTTTTTTTTCCTCCTCAGTGCAAGCCTACACTTGCATTTAAGTGGCCGGTGTCTGTGTCCCCCAGCCCATTCTCCAGCAGGAGGGTTTGCGACTGCACATTTTAACTGAGAGAGAAAAACACTGAAAATCAGGTTCCACCCTGCAATTCACTACAAGTGCTTTTCAACCACCGTTTTCAAACTGTTGTGTTAGGTAGGAAACGCAGCCAGTCCTGGCCACAGGCAGAACAACACTAAACTCTTCATGTTTCCTTCATGGCATAATTCTGAGTCTCTCAAAATTGCAGTGGGGAGAGGGCTTTATATCCTGTGTCCTTAACCCAGCCTTGAGAAGGAAATCTCGCACATTGGCTTTTGCAATACAATAGCCCTGCTACAATTTCGGAGCTAAAAATACCTGTCCTATTTCCCATTTTGAACACTTAATCAGTGACTGCCCTTCAGCACTGTTTTTGTGATGAAACTTAATATTTTTTGCACACTGCTGCTTTCCTCCTTGACAAGTGACTTTCCTTTACCCTGCTACCCTTGACCAGGAACAGATTCAGGTGTCAGCAGGGCTCTCTCCACAGTCCATGGACTTTTTTTAGTCCCTTGCTTTAGAAGTCTATAACCTCACAGGCTTCAGAAACATCCCTGGCTTCCACCTGCAGTAGGTTCTGCTTCCAGGACCAGGGCACATATGGAGCTCCCTTCCCACCTAATATTGATCCCTCTTGGATATTTTGTGCAATCGTACAAGCACATCAGGGCAACACTTGGATTTTTTCCCTTTTGGTCCATTGAAAAGGTAGCATCAATAAGTAAATAATGAATGCACTTTGGCAGTCTTTGTTTTGTCCACAGTAAATGGAGACCTGGAAAGAAAATCCATAGTGTTTTCTTTTATTGATGCCATTTCAAATATCTAGTAGATGTGAATGGGGGGAAAATATATAGAGTGGCACACTTTGCTAAAAACTTCAAAGGTGAATAAATAAGCTTTATTGCTTGTTTTTGTTTATTTGTTTTGTATCTAGATACAATATTTGATCTATTAAAACAGTACTTCAGCTGCCAAATGTCCCAGGAAATATTACACATATCACAGATAAGACTAAAAATGTCCAAGCCTATAGTTTACTAATGGAAAGTGCTTTTCAGACAAGGCACTTGGAGCCTTTTTGAAACCTATTTTCTACTGCTTCTACCACCCTCTCCCAAATGTTTTTCAATTGCACCCAACTGCTGTTGTGGATAGGACTGTGATACACAAGTGACCTTTGTTTCCTCCCTGTTGTGGTGAGACATCAAAGCAGGGAATGAGATGTAAGCTCGGGGTGGAGGAAGGGCAGCAAGTACAGAGGGACTCTTCAATGGACCATGGTGGCTCTTCAAGGAGAAAGGATACAGCATCTGTACCAGACCAAAAAAAAATGAAACCTAAGCAGCTTAAATGGGACTGTTTCTAGATGAAGTGGTGGTATCTTAGTGCAGAACTACAATGTTGAAAAGTTGGATTTTGCGCTGCTGGAGCATAAAAGGCTCTGGGTGGTGAAGGAGGATTTAAAACAATCTCTTTCAAAAGAAGAATAAATCTCAGCATTTCCTCTTTTTCTCTTTACACAAGGGCAGGGGGACCTGCCCCATGGGGAAAATTCCAGGTCTTGAGTCCCAAGTGCTTCTCCTTTTGGAGCTGCTGGCTGAATTAATCACTGAGGACGTAGCTACAGCAGTGATCCATGCTCTACTACCCCAGCTCGGGGTCAGGACCTCTGTTTCTTTATCCCAACACAGATGCAGTTGGATTGTGGTCCTCTTGGGTTGTGGTCAGGCATGTGGAGCAGGAAAGGTCTACAGGACCCTTCTGCCAAACGTTTTTTTTTTATATGAGTCCAACCCACTCAAAACCAAATCTATTCACCTCTTGCCCGTGTTGCAAATCCCCAAGCCCGCTCTGTGGGATGGCCTTAGCCGGAGTTTTGGGAAGGGGAAAGAGCTCAGGCAACATCGGTGCTGAGCAAAGCCACAAGTCTTGCTTGTGGCACCAGCTTGTGCAGGACTGGGCACGAGCGGTGCCGCAGCACAGCCCAGCAGCAGGTGCTCTACGCTCAACTCTTCCAAAAGTCTCTGTGGCTGATTCCAGACAGCCAGACCAGCAGCTAGAAACAGGGACAGAAGGCGCAATGCTCATGTAGCTCGGTAAAATTAGACTTGGATTCAAGCCCACTCGTAATCTTAGAGAAGAGTAAGCGTCGTGCCAGCTTTTCTTCTCTATGCTGCAAAAAGCCCGTTTTCATGCCGCTGTTGGCTTCTGCTCCTTTCCTGCTGATGCTAAGATGTAATAGCTGAGATATATTACTGCCCCCAGGAACAAAACAGCTAGAATCAAAGCAGACTGTTAAAAGATATCAGGAATTGGAGAATGTACTACAAGAAGATCAAAGTCAGCTTTAACTCTCTGGCTATTAATGGGCAAACATCACTCCAAAATGCAATTTTGAGAAGCAATTTCTTGACAGGAATGGCAGTTTCTAGAAACAGTAGCTCTTTGGCACACAAGAGAATAGTCCTTGAGTTAACTCTTGCAGCAGATTCCTCTCCAGAGATAGATGCAAATACAGAGTCTTTCTGTCAGATTCTTGGATGATCTGGATATAACTTTCGGTTGCTTAATCAAGGTGTCTTTCTTTCCTCTCTGCAGCTCTGGAGATATTTGTAACAGCTCAATGTTTTTTAGCCAAACTAGATAGAAAATCAGCTCTCCAGAGTGCTCAGCCTTCTGTGACTTGTTGCCAGCTACTGACCAAACCGGCTATTGATTTGTCTTTTCCAAATCAAAGTTTCAAAAGGCTTCTATAGTCTCAGGGTAAAAAATCCTTAGGCCAACATGCAGGGCTAAAACCACTGTCTCTGGGGAGTGTGCTTATCAGACTGTGTTCCCTAAATGAAATGTCTAAAACTAAAAGAAATACTCAGTGTCTGT